GGCTTATTAGCTACAATAGCTGGTGACCCCTGTGGTTAAATGTCATGTTTCTTATTCGACACAGGGGTAAGAGGGCTGTGTGATCCCATGGCCCAGTGTTATGATGTGGTGGAGCTAGCAAATCCAACATGCCTATCTTAACATGACATTCACTGGGCAGGGAGATGTGATTGGAAATTATTCATCAGGAAAACAGCTGAGCATTCTTAGCTACAATAGCTGGTGACCCCTGTGGTTAAATGTCATGTTTCTTATTCGACACAGGGGTAAGAGGGCTGTGTGATCCCATGGCCCAGTGTTATGATGTGGTGGAGCTAGCAAATCCAACATGCCTATCTTAACATGACATTCACTGGGCAGGGAGATGTGATTGGAAATTATTCATCAGGAAAACAGCTGAGCATTCTAACAGGGAAAGGAAACAGCAGCTGTAAGATGGGGACAGCATTATACAAGGGTTTTGCAGTGCTGAGTGGGTGTTTAACCAGTGGCACGGCACAATCGTGTATTCACGAATCCAGGAATTGCCCAAACTGCAGGGAAGGTTCTTAACCAGTCCAGAATTTTATAGCATTCAAGACATATGATAGAGAAACCAGTGCAGTCTAGTGGGTGGAGCTCAGGAACAAGAGCTAGAGGCTCCATGCCTCAGTTTCCTTGTGGATGAAGTGAGATCTATGTACAAAAAGCTGCACCAGAAGAGCTAGGTTTTTTTTTTTTTACAATCATCTGCTGTCTTAGGGAAGTCATGTCCTTGCTCTGTGACTCAGTTTCCCCATCTACTTAACAGACAACTTTGGCCTGGGGGTGAAAACACAGGGATAAATTGAGCCCTGGGAGAGAGCAGATGAGAGTGAGGCCACTAGAATTGCTTCTGTTTAAACCAGCGCTTCAATTTGGCTCCAAGATGGAGTCTTTTTAAACTATCAGAATCTATCTGAGGTACTTATATGGCCCATATCTGAGCCCCTTGCAGTATTTAATGCATTTATCCCTCATGCCCTACCCCCTATGAGGCATAGTGATAGAAATGTAGCCGTGTTAGTCTGGGATAGCTGAAGCAAAATGCAGGACAATGTAGCACTTTAAAGACGAACAAGATGGTTTATTAGATGATGAGCTTTCGTGGGCCAGACCCACTTCCTCAGATCAAATAGTGGAAGAAAATAGTCACAACCATATATACCAAAGGATACAATTAAAAAAAAGTGAACACATATGAAAAGGACAAATCACATTTCAGAACAGGAGGAGGATGCAGGGGGGGTGGGAAGGAAGGAAGGTAAGTGTCTGTGAATTGATGATATTAGAGGTGGGGAGAGTGGGATGTTTGTGAGTTAATGGTATTAGAGGTGATAATTGGGGAAGCTATCTTGATAATGGGTAAGATAGTTCAAGTGTTTGTTCATTCCTTTTTGGAGAGTGTCGAATTTGAGGCAGGGAGGGCTATCCACCCCATTTTACAGAGGGGAAACTGAGGCACAAAGCGACTGAGTGAGTTGCCCAAGAGACACAATGCATTTGTGGCAGAGCAGGGAATGGACCTTGAGTCTTTAGCGCACAACCATGCAGTATTGGACAATTAGGGATTAACATTCCACAGACGCCTACACACCCTCTGCATGTGTGTGTGTGTTGCTACACAAGGACTACACACCCCACGATTGCTCAAATCCTAATTACCCTATATCCCAGATGGGTGCCTGATCTGAGTGCTTGAGCGGGGGATGGGGGTCTAATTGCCTATGCTGTCGGTTTCTTGCATCCAATGTTGTTGTGGTCATGTGGGCCCCAGGGTAATAGAGAGATGAGGTAAAAGATATTATCTGCTTCACCTGGCCTCTCAATGTATGAAGAGAAGCCACGCAATTATTTGTTTGGCAAGGCACATTAGTGTGATCAAGTGGTTCCATGTCTAGGAGGGAGAGTCATTTAATAGTTAGAGTGGGGATAGGATGCCTGGCTTCCACACCTAGCTCTTGAAAGAAGAGTGGCCTAGTGGTTAGAGCAGAATCATCAGGTGGTGACGTGTTTAGCATGTACCATTGAGCATCAGGACTGCTGGGTTCCGTGCCTACCACATCCACTTATTCATCACTTTGTTCCTCAGTTTCCCTTTCTTGAAAATGAAGGTAGTAACACTTTCCTACCACATGTGGTCACACCCTAATGAGTGGTTGCAGAGAGCTTCATGGTGCTCTGATTAAAGCTGCGTAGACATGCAAATTAACACGGCGTTTGGTAAATTGGGCCTACACTAATTAACTGTAAAAATACCCTGTCCACTTGGATCTTCACAGCAACAGCAGGCTATAACTCAGCATCGCCACTCTCAGGAGCAGCCCCCCTATCACTTCAGGTGAAGGAGAATCTCCCTTAACTTTTGGCAGTATAGGGCCCATGACACATGGTTCCAATTCCAACCAGCAGAGGGCAGCAGTGTGTGCATAGGTGTTGTTACAATACACATGTCTGTATTGAAGTTTAGGATTCCTCCAGATGAGATAAAAGGAAATTATTATTATTTAGTTATTCTCTAATATGAAATGTATTATAGATGGGGTGGCGGGGCGGGAACGCAAGGCCAACACATCCATCCTTCATGCAGCTCCCAATACCTATTAACAGACAAGGGACTGGAGATCCTTCATGAGCCCTGCTGTGCCTCATTGTGCTGCTTGGTACAGGCTCCACAGGGCAAAGGTGCTTGGGGCAGCTTCTCCAGGGCAGGGGAGGGGGAGGGCAGGGAACACAGTCCCCAATGGGACCTTTACTGCTGCATGTCCCCACTCCCCTGGGGGCTGGCCCCGGGCCTCCATACCAAGCCTGGGAACACCCTGAAGATGCCACAGCCCCAGCTGACTAGGCAATTAAGCCACTCCACATTCCGGTTTGTCAGGCCCAGGTGCTGCCTTCCTAGGCTCCCATTGCCAAATCCAGATCCCGGTGTGTGAGACAGAGGGAACAGGCTGAGAACTGCCTGGCATTAACCCCGTGGCAGGAGGGGCCAAGGCTTGGACCGTCAGCAAGCGACAGAAGTTTCCTTGACGAGAGTTTTCTTTGATTTGCTTCCCAGTGGTCCCCTAACAAAGGGGGACAGGAGCTGACAGCCTCATTGGCCTCTCTGAGCCCTTGATTCGGGGGCACTAGCCCTGCTGGCTGCTCCGAACCCTGAGCTGCTAGCCAGGGTCACCCAGGGGATGTACCGCAGAGCAGGGAAATGAACTGGGACCTCCAAAGTCCCGAGCTACCACTCTGACCATGGGACCATCCTTCCTCTTTCATCACCCCTCCTCCCACGCACGGGCTACAGCATGGTCCCAGCCCGTAGGCCCCTCGCCCTGCCGTACGGGGCAGAAGGTCAGGGCTCCGAAACGCTAGGTCCTTAAGATACCACTGGCCAGGGCTAGTACTCTCAGCTGGAGCAGCGGTGGGCAAGATATAGCCCCGGGGCCCTTTCAGTCCAGCTCATGGGCCACCCCACTGGACCCACAGGCAGGGAGCAGCTCCAGGGCTCAGAATGGCTGGCAGCTCCATCTACCTCTCTGTGACGGGCGTAGGGGGAAGCTTTGTGGGCTTCCACTCCCTCCTTCACCCACCCCCCCTTTCAGACCACCCCCCCTTCCCTGCACTCCAGTCCTCTACCCTGAGCTCCCTTCTGCACCCAACCGCCAGACCCTGCATCCCCTCCATCGAAAAGTGCAACCCTTGAACCGGGCTGTTCCCACACCAGAGCTGTTCCCACACCAGACGGCAGCCCAGGACTAAGATGGGAGACCAGCGCATGGGTTCTCCCCCCAGCTGAGTGGTGACATGGGGCAGCAGGGGGTCAGAGCCTCGCTGCAGGGTGCAGTGATGTCTGTGTCCCATGCGGGGCGACCGGCACGGGGGGCAGTAGATACAGGGCTATTCCCGTGGGGTACGCTAGGCACTGCTCCCTACTACTGCAGCACACGGCTCTTCAGTGGCACACAGTAATGTCCCATTATTAGGGCATCGCCCCCTCCACCGGGTTAGCCCCCCCCCCCCCATACCAGGCAGCTCACGCCAAGAGGGAGACGGCAGCCAGGGTCACTCACCGCCACCTGTGAGGTGGAGCAGGAGAACATCTTCTTCATGGTGCCTGCGTCCTGCACCAGGGTGTCTCCACGCCGGCGAAACCCCAAGCAGGGCGAGGGCTGGGCTCACACCATCCCCCACGCAACGCCGCTCGCTGCTCAGGACGGGGGCCCGAGGGAGCAGACCAGCGGGCCCGGCTTTGAGGAGGGCTCGGCCATGGACCAGCGCCCCAGAGGGACTCCGCGCTGGCTGCTGAGCAGGTAATTGCTGTCAAAGGGAAGAGGCGTGCTGTGTCGGGGGAGCGTTTGAAGACAATCCTCCTGCCTCCAGGGCCAGCCCCGTCCCCTCCCCTCGCCGCCTCCTGCGCACCTGCTGACAGCTCAGGCCCGGCCCGGGCTTGCCCAAGATCTGATCTTCCAGGGCGTTTGTTCCTGGGTTTAAAAGGAGAGACGATTCCTCCCCTGCCTCCAGATGCAACTGCAGCATCAGCTCCATTCGAGACGCCGGCTAGTGGCAGGGTCCAACAGAGGCACCAGCCCCACGAGCCATCCTACGGGAAGCAGAGGCCAGCAGGGCACGACCCACGCACAATGGGCCGGGCAATGACACAGCAGGAGCATAGGCCAAACCTCCACACCAGTCAGCCCCCATCTCCTGATCTATTTGACCAGCTGGAACAGCGCAGAGGAGGCACCTTGTGTCTGCAGAGAGCAGAAGTAGCTTTGTTAGACTCCCTCCAGCCTTACCCCTACATACACAAAGACACACAGGCACTCACTCTCTCTCACGTAACACACACACACAAATACACACAGTCTCTGTCTCACTCACTCCCTCACAACCGGCATGCTAGTGAATGTGTGTGTCTGACTGTGTTTGTGCATGTGTGTGAGCAAGAGAACGAGAGAGTGTATGTGCGTGTGCATGTGAGAGAAAGAGTAAGTGTGAGTGTATGAGCGAGTGTGTATGTGTGTGTGTGAGAGAGAGAAAGAGGAGAGTGTGTATGAAAGTGTTTGTATGTGCATGTGTATGAGAGTGTGTGTGTGTGTGAGAACGAGAATAAGTGTGTATGAGACAGAATGTGTTTGTACGTGCATGTGTGTGTGAGTGTGTGTGTGTGTGTGTGTGTGAGAGAGAGAGAGAGAGAGAGAGAGGCTACTGCGGCACTACAGGCTTCTGGCACAAGAACAGTCGTTATTGTGCAAAAACTTGCGGAGCATCTACACTGCGGGCACATTCTTGCGCAAGTAAATTTACAGTAAGCGTCAGAACAGAGGGCGTCTTGCTCAAGAGTTATTACTCTCCCCACAAGGACTGTTGCGCAAAAAGGCATGTGTAGACAGGCAACAGGGGTTTCTTGCGCAAGAAACCCCTCTGTCTAAAATGGCCATCAGAGCTTTCTTGTGCATGAGAGCGTCCACACTGCCATGGACACTCTTGCGCAAAAGCACATGGCAGTGTGGACGCACTCTTGCGCAAGACCAAAACTTGCGCAAGAAGCCAGAAGTGTAGACATAGTCAGTGTGTATGAGAGCGAGTGAGTGTGCATGTATGTGCACGCGTGTGTGAGAGAGTGAGTGTATGTGCGCATGCAGGCACGTGCGCGTGTGTGTGTATGCAGGGGTGACCCGAGGCAGGCTGCTGGCAGCTGGCACCCCAGGCGGAACACACGATCGGCGCTTCTGCCTCCACAGCCCTCAAAGGCGTGACATCATCATTGGGCGCCCCGTTGAAGGTGACGGCTGAGTCGGCCTATATGCACAGGCCGCCCCTGTATGTGTGTGTGTGTGTGTGAACTAGAGATCTTTGTGAACCTTGGTGAACCAGGATCCATTTTAACAAATCTCCCACCATCATGAAACATTTTTGAACCAAAAGAAAAATGTTCCTAGCTATCCAAATGCCCCATTCCTGCATTTTCCAACCAGAAAATGTATGGATTTTTTTGGAGTCAAAACGACTCTTGACATGTGTAGCTAATGTAGGCCGGGAAGTGAGATTTTCTAAAGGCTGGAATCAAAACGGCTCAAAATGACCCAAGCAAAACATTTGGATTTGAGCCATGCTGATGGGGCGTGTAGGGGAGGTTCCTCCCCAGATTTTTGGTTCACAAAACGTTTTGATACTTTTACTTTTTTGTCCCTATCTGGGGTGGCTCCAAGGGAGGGCTGGCCCGCTGCATCCCCAGGGTCATGCCTCTCGACGGAACGCTGACCCTTAGGGCCAGCCTGCCTGCTGATTAACAATCAGCCTGGGGGGAAACTGAAAACCCAGCCCAGGCCCCCAGGCATGTCACCACAAAATCCCTAGTGCTCCAGGGCTGGGCCAGTAGTGCCGCTCGTGAAATAATCCACCAGCAGAGGGCAGCACGTCCATGCAAGAGGCAGACAGGCAGATTGGGAACCCATTTTCCATCCAGTTCTGTATTTATCTGGTGCTCATCCCTGTAGATCTAGGTGCTTAATCTCCCACCCGGCTGTGAAATAGGGACGGAGGCTCCTATTAGTGACAGAAGTGCCACATCAGCTAAGTGACATACCCATGTTCACACAGGAAGTCTGTGGCAGAATCCCAGGTTCCTGGCTCCCTCATCCACTGTGCCATCCTTCCTGCTCTCCGCGGTTCTGGGAGAGATGCACATGCACAGAAGGAGGGCTGTTTTTCAGATGAATCCCTGCCAGTCCTGGACAACAGCTCAACTCTGGGGCAGGTGAGGTGAGACACACCCCCTGCTCAGTCTGGGGAACCAGGCTGTAATAGGAGAACAGGTTTTAGTCACAGGAAGGTCCACAGACCACACCTCTGAGTCAATCAACTCCCCCTTTGCCTACTGGATCAGCACAGAGGTGGTGTAACACGCAACAGGTGGAGCTGAACCTGGGGCCTCTGGAACTTAGTGCATGAACCTCTCCCGCTTGAGCAAAAAGCCAGCGGGCTCTCAGCTAAGGCAGTAGAGCAGCGGTTCCCAAACTTTTTGGGCGGGCTCTCAGCTAAGGCAGTAGTGCAGTGGTTCCCAAACTTTTTGGCATCCCGCCCCCTTTTCGATTTTTGAGAAACCCGCATGCCCCTGCCGCAAAAAAACCAGCAGCAAAACTTCTTGAGAAAAAAAAAAGGAACTGACCGGGGCTGAAAAACAAAAGTAGCAGCATAACTTGGGGAGGAGGCAGTGGGGGGACTGGGTTGCCTTGCGCACCCCTTGGAATTTCTTCACGCCCCCCAGTTTAGGAGCCCATGCTGTAGAGCAAACTCGTTCTTCGCTCTGTAAGTGGTCACAGAGTACCACGCCCAGCAGGTGTGTGGGATACAGCGACATGGTGGGCTCTGTAGAAATCACACGTAGCTTTGGGTATGTCTACACTACAGCACTAATTCAAACTAACTTAATTCGAATTAGTTAATTCGAACTAAGCTAATTCGAATTAGTGCATCTAGACCTAAAAACTAGTTCGAATTAGTGTTTTGCTAATTCGAACTAGCATGTCCACATTGAGTGGACCCTGAATCGAGGTTAAGGATGGCTGGAAGCAGTGCCGGCAGGGCATCAGATTAGGACTTAGAGCGTGGAGCTGCTGTCTCAGGCTAGCCGAGGGCTGTGCTTAAAGGGACCCAACCCCCACCCCGGACAGACAGTTCTCAGGGGTTCCCCATTTGCAAAGCAGTCCTGGCTTGGAGTGCCCTGAGTGCCCACACTCGGCACATCACAGCACTCGGACATCAG